TTCTCTGATTATTCTGCGCATTTGATGGTGCTACATAGCCTTCCCGGTTTGGTGCCTTCTTTTGATAATTACTTACTTACTTTCTTGAGGCTCAGCCCTGCAACAGAGGTGTATATACAGTACTGTACAGTAACAATTTGTAAGGAAGTCTTGAAAAGATTGCTTTGTAAGGGCACTCGCTGAAGAGATTCAGTCATTCTGGAAGAGATTGTCAGTCAGTCAGGAAGAGATTCAGCTATTCTTAAAAATATCTATGGAAAATACCACCATGGAAGCCCTTAACATTGTTCATCTATCCTACTTGCATCAAATGCATCATCACTGAACTCAGAAAACGATTCATCTAGATATCATCTATAAAAATTGGAGATTACACGGGTGGGCAAGGGAGGTGCTTAGAGCTACAAATGGATACGCTTGCTGTATCATCCTCATCTGTGCTGTATCACTTGCATCCGACCTTTAGGTCCTTATTGTTAGGTCCTTATTATGCCTAGCTTGATCAATTATCATGTCTATTTTGAGGTTATCTTGATGATGATTTCGGGGCTTTTAGTGTTCCCGCGGCCCAGTCCTCGACCAGGCCTCCACCCCCAGGAAGCAGCCCGTGACAGTTGACTAACACCCAGGTACCTATTTTACTGCTAGGTAACAGGGGGCATAGGGTGAAAGAAACTCTGCCCATTGTTTCTCGCTGGCGCCTGGGATCGAACACAGGACCACAGGATCACATGTCCAGCGTGCTGTCCGCTTGGCCGACCGACTCCCTTTGTCTCTCATATTCTTCAAACAATAAGGTCTGAATTTCACCGACATAAGAGGGATCTTTCAACACTGCATCAGAGAGGAGTTTGGGAGCCAGAGGCGCGTGCGCCACCCATGGTCGCTCACTTAGTACTAACCCAGCCAGCAGCTGTAGGGCATTCTGGGAACTTTTTCCAAGATGGCTGCCTCTTACTGGAGGTCCAAAGAGTCCATTTCTTACACAACCTACCGCGCACGCATTTTGAATGGGTACGAAATATTCAAAAGATGTTTTCTTGGTTGGCACAGTTTCCAACCGACCAAGTTTTCTCGGTTGGGAAAGCACAAAGGTTAAGCCAGATCCAGTAACATAAATTTCTCTCAAATATTGGATTTACATCAAATTATATATTTTTGGGTTATATATTTAGTTTAGCAACATTATTATGATAACAAGAGCTATAAAAAAATACTCATTTTAGAACTGATTTATTAATTTTATTATTTCGAAGTTGTAGGTCACTGAACTGTGGTGACGAAATTGAATGAAATACGCATGTGTGAATACTGATTAAACCCGTCCACTCGCGCTGGAGTTGGTGTGCCAATAACATGAATAATTTCTCAAATAGCAGATGTCTATCATATTACAGTATATTTTTTATTTTATTTAGTTTAGTTCAATTATGATAATAAAGAGCTATTAAAACACTGGTTTTAGAAGTGATTTATTAATCAGAAACTTTCAAAGTCATGGGTCACTTAACTATGACGACACATACGAAAGTGAGCGAAACCTCACTGTAAAGTAAGGTTTACAGTACAGTATTCCCTTATCTGTCCACCATCACTCATCTTTTTTCATCACAGAAAATGTATATAAGAAGATTTCAACACATTAGCTAGCTATTCACACTTCAGTTTTTAAATTAATCTACAAAGATACATGTGCCACAAATCAGTGAACGAAAATCATGGAAACAGTCGTTCACTTGTGTGGACCACTCTGGCTGGTGTTTGGTTCATGTGATTCACTTGTCGTGTGATTCACTCGTGATCCAACTTGTCATATAAAGGAATTATTAATTGTAACTTGTGATAGAATGGGAAAGGTTCCCACCAGTTTGTGAATTCTGTCCCAACATCGTAAGCAAATCCGCACATCCCCCGCTTCGGTGAACCAGAGTAGGCCAAACAGGGTGAGTAAATTCAGCCTGAAAAGTGTGTGACCTAGCCGGAGATGCAGTGAATCGGGGTGCGTTGAATCGAAGTTGTATTGTACATTTAAAAAAAAAAAAAAAAAAGTTCTGCTGATAAAGAGAACAGCTCCTATTAGCTGGAACTGAGAGATAATGCAGTGATAAAGAAGAAGAATAGTAGTAAGGAGGGTTCACAAAGTGGATATGCAGCTGGTGCCTTTCTAGCATTACTGAGTAATACATACTAAGACAAATAATAAAGACTATGTTATTATGCTGTATTTTGTTATATATCATATAAATTTATTGCCCAATGCCAATATCTGTTAGTTTTACCAATGTCCAACAATTTTTTTTTTTTTGGGGGGGGGGGGATATTTTTTTTATTTTTTGCCTTTATTTATTATTGGATTTTGCTGTAGCTTCTACATCTTAGGGAATGCACACCCGTCACTATGTATGTGACGGGTGAACAAAATTGGTCAACAAGTTAATCAGTTACAGGTAGCAGAAATTGTTGCTTTTATTTATTTTTTTAATAAAAATTTACAGATTTCAAACTATTCTCTTCATCTCTTTAGGTTGTATTGAAAAATGGGGCCCAGATGTGGGCCTTATCACTTATTTAAAGTATACTTATAATCCTTATTAACCCATTATCCTTATCCCCATATTTGTTTTTAGGGGACTATTTTTTCTTAACTTTATTTCAAGACATATTGACCTACACCTTTCACATATTCGAGTACGAATGCCAAGCAATATTTAGTAAAACTTACAAGATATGACATAAATTCTAAATACTATATATTGTCGAGAAGTTTACCTTCATTTTTGCTCCATGAACAGGATTTTCAATGTTAGACAAGCTGTAAAATTCAGTTTCTGAACAATTATCACCATTTTTACATATTATGTACAAAGTTCTTAGTTCTAAGGCTTCTTCAATTGCATTTATTCATAAACCTATAACTTTAGGAGTTATAAATTTTTGTGTCTAAATTTTGCACATATTTTGAAGGCCAGTGACTATTTTTTTTTACAGTAACTATACTCTCAAACTCAATTTTAAATTGAGGAAAATGAACGTTATATGCCATTCTAAGCCCATGATGAATAAAATAAAATCTAGTGAAATATTAAATTTGTCAGCTTAATTTGAAATTGTGAAATTTTAATTTTTAAAAATAATTTTTTTCCTGTTCATGTTATGATATTGAACCATGATTAAAAATTGGAGCATTTACCATATAGATTATGCACAAAAATTTTGAGTGTGTTTGAGGAAGGTTGAGAAATTAGTCTCCCAGCCCCTTAACACTCATACAATCCACTTTAAATTCATACAGTCCACTATCAAAATAAACGTAAGAAATAAATTTATATAAATATTCAATATAAATTATAAATTATAATTCATTAAATAAATTAATAATTGTACTAAAATAAATCTATAAATCCCACGAGTCAGTTTTCCCTACAAAAGATGAGGCTTTAACTAGATAACTAGTTCTTTAAATGAAGGAAATCCTTATGAAATCTTTGCTAAGTAAAATATAGCTTTTGTATGAAGAAAGGTTCTTCACCCTGGAATAGAGGGTAATATCCTCCCAACAGGAGGCAGATAGTACAAATGACCATCTGTTTGTGGCAAAATCAACAGACATTTTTCAAGCTCCCAAATAGTGAGTGCGAGCTCGGTAGTCGATCCATAATGAGCCACACCAAAGACATGTGGGCTTGCCAGGGCCTGAAGGTTAGGACCAAGCAGGGCACCCAAGCACTAGGAATGCTCACTAAAACAAATGACACTGAGCACAACCTTCAGGATAAATACACACCTATGAAGGCCATCAGAGGCATGGTGTATGTACAAGCACATGAACCCTATTGCACCCCTTAATCAATAAACTCCAACCTCAGAGCCTGACACAGGAGTCAATGACCTTTGCATTAACTCTGGGCAAGGCACCTTACACAATAGGCCTGCCTCTATGGGATGAACTCCCAAACCCACTAGGGAAGGCACTCTGTCAGGACAGGGGTATCATTAAATAAATGCTTAGGGAAGGGCTCAACAAAAACACATGCACCTCAAAGTGAACAGTTTTGAAAGTCCACAAAACAATTGAGGCATGTAAACACATGCACCTGAAGCACACTAAATCTTGGAATCATACACAAACCAAATGGGGCCCCACAGGACAGAGTCCAAAGGATGGGCAACACTTCAGCCACAACGGGGGCTGTGGCTGAATGGACAGCGCTTGGGACTCGTAATCCTAAGGACTGGGACCGAGGTTCGATTCCCAGCCATGGCAGAAACAAATGGGCAGTTTCTTTTACCCTGATGCCCCTGTTACCTAGCAGTAAATAGGTACCTGGGAGTTAGACAACTGTTACGGGCTGCTTTCTGGGTATGTGTGAAAAAAGAAGTAAAATAAAAAATTAAAAATTAATCGTTAATTTATTGACAGTTGAGAGAGGCGGGCCAAAAGAGCAGAGCTCAACCCCTGCCAGCACAACTAGGTGAATTCTATTTAGAAAAAGCTGAGAACTGCTATAGCTGATGACCCAAGGAGCGGTCCATACAACTGGTCATCAGTGAAAGGACGAAAGTGTGTCCATATGAGACCTGACAGCTCCCAATGGTGCTGCCACCTAATGCTGGTCAGCTGTAATGAGAGGGGTTCAGCTCACTACTGATCAGTGGTGGCTCGTGGAAGAATAGAATGGTGGGACTGCATCACTGCAAGCTGCACACAACAGTACTGAATAATAATAATAATAATAATAATAATAATAATAATAATAATAATAATAATAATAAAAAAAATAATTACAAAAATAACTGAAGAAATAAATAATTAAACAAAAGACTTTGATAAATATACTTCATACATACTGTAGTCCCGTAGGAGTCATCATTGTCATGTTGGTGGAGGTATGAGCTGCACAGAATGCAGTTCAACATTGCCAAATGTAGCACTAATAAATCCTACACTATTTTACAGCATAAAACCTCTATTTTTATCGTGTTTTAATGAAAATGTTCAAAATTCAGTTATAAATATATTGAAAATAACATATAAAGATTTTCTGTTATGACACATTTGTTTGTTTATTATTGTAGTGTGAGGTTGATGGAGTCATACACCTGGCAGAGTGTCTGGGGGGGACTGCAGCTCAGCAGCACCTACGGGCGAGTTGCCACTGTTACTGAGCGTATTGTTTGCAGGGTTGTTTGCTGCTTCACTTTTTATTACTTTGTGATTCATGGAATTGTCTGTATTACTTTGCTTACTTTTTGGATGTTTCCTTGGTGAGGGTGATTATAACAATCCCCCTGCTCCCTGCAGCTCTGTGAGGGAGCCAGAGTCTGGCTCTGGTCACCAGTAGGCTATTGAGGACTCCTAGGGATGATATGTGTGGAACGATCTCAGTGCTAGCATCAGGGAGTTTCTTCAAGACTTTATAACTTAATTTTATGATGAAGGCGTATATGTCCAATTTTGGCTGGACTCTGGAACAGTAACTTCTTGAACATAATAAAAGTATGGCGGGAGTGATAAGTGAACAGGTGCATGAGGACTGTCTTGTGTGGCTGGGCCTAAGGTCTGAAAAGTTGGTGCTGGTATGGTAGTTGCTGCTGAACTGCTTCCACTATGAGATACAGATGTGACAATGTGTGTGTGTGTTTGATGAGGATTTTGACCGGTTGTTCTAGGAAGCTGTGACACTGCTAGAGTTGGAACCATGCTGGTTGTTAAGCACTGCAGTGCCACCGGAGGTCTCAACTGACGAACATGCTGACTTCCAATACTCTGTGCACTTCTTGGTTTATTGGTTACCACAGATCCAGTTTCATTCCTTTCTGATATCACTAAATGTTCTGTAGACTCTGGTACACCCTGAGCTGATGATGCTGATGAAGACAATGGATCTACCATAGAATCTTGTATGATAAAAGCAGTAGTAGCAGGTGCTTCAGCTATCCCCTCTGGTAATGTGTGATGCTGGTTAGCCATATACTGGTTTAGGATGACCTGAAGAGACTGATACAATTCTTGAAGGCCACCTACCTCATGAAGAGAATAAGTAAGGCTACGAAGAGTATCCAGTTGTACTCGCACCATTTCTGCAAAACTGGCAGCCTCTCCTGATCGATCTCTTGGTAAAACATCAGTCGATATGCACTCTCGTCCTTCCAGGTCTCCAAGACTGCCTCTATCTGGCTCATCTGTGCAAAATGTTTGTACTGCTTCCTGTAAGGTTGAGGCTTGCAAGGGCGCACTATTAGACATCACATTATCACAACACCCTGTTTCATTCTCTCCAAATCTAGTTCTTTTTTGCTTCCTTTTCTTTCTCTGGCTCATTTCAAAGGAGACTTGTTCACTGGAGACTTTCCGTTTGGCTGATATCCCCATTTTCTTACAAAGGGTATAAACAAGATTAGCTATATCCTTTAGACGAGGATAATATGCCCTATCATCAGGCTGTGGAACCACCATGTCTCCAACATGCTGCATTTCCACATGACTGTCTAGAATACCCTTTATTGATTTTGGAGCAGTAACCCCTTCACATATAAGTTCTTTAATCTTATTAGTTATAGATGGATGGATGCTACGTGATCTGCCTTGCAGTGGGTGATTGTGAACTACACTTAATGGCAAAGTTATGTGGTAAAGTTCTTCCTTTTCCAAAGTTAGTCCCTGGCTCATGTCTCTTCGGAGTGCCTTTAGCATTACTTTTCTTTCTGTTGCCATTGCATTATAGGGAACTGCATACCCTGGGTACCTGTATAACACAATAATGAGAATAAAAATTACATGGTATAAGCATATATAGAAATCAAACCAAATATTGTTGCATTTTCCATAAGTTATTGTACCTCTTCATGGTGCCCATTAGTTAGCTAAAGACCATATCAGTTAAAAGAAAGGCAGCATAAAACCAGCATTGAATGTAATGAAACACCAGTTTCTGGGTGAGCCCCAGAGGTTCTCTGAAGCTAGCTTACTGATCAAGTGCCATACTACTTGGAGTCATCAGTTGTAGAGTTCATGTATGCCTACTGGGGACCATGGGCCAGAACCTGGCCCCCTCCGAGAGGCGCCGGAGCAATGGCCCATGAATACTTTACATTTAAAGTTTGTCATATTGTCATCCACCATAAAAGGCAGCCAGAGAGGTAGGCGAATCAAAACAAACTACTGCATGGTTAAAAAATGTGACCTATGCCCTCTAAATTTTAAGAGGACTCCTCCACCAAGAAACAAACAACTAAAACTTCGTCCAACTAGCCCCTTACTCGTTAGCTTCAACCCATCCCCCCCTCATTGGAGGGAAGGGAGCTGGCCTGGGTGAGTCAGACTGCCACCAGCTAGGTCTTGAATGATAAAAGCTCCTAAAACTCACTGACCAGAGGGAGGGAAGGAGGGTGTCGGATAGCCCCTAGGTCTCACACAGAAACATTCACATTTCATTACGTTCAATGCTGGTTTTCAGTGGAGGAGCCCCGTTGGCTCCCTGAAGCTAACTACCAACACAGAAGGAAAAAACCCAGCGTTGAATGTAATGAAATGCCATTTTCTGGATGAGCCCTGGAGGCTCCCTGGAGTTATCGAGCTAATATGTGATATATTAGACCAGAGCATTCATTAGTCTATGGAGTTCAGCCTATAGTGGCCCACAAGCCAGAGCCTGGCCCCCTCAGAGAGGTGCAGGAAGCAATGGCCATAGAAAACCCCCGTGGTTGGGGTTTTTCCTTATCTGCCAACGACCAGGGTTAGGCACCCAGAAAGGTAGGCATAACAAAACAAACTCCAAATGGTAAGAAAATGGCAACTAAAAAACAAAAAGAAAGAAAGAACTCCCTCCAATCCAAAGGGAAAAAAGCAAACATCACACTCCACCGCCGCATCGCTCATCTACCCAGCCCTCCCCTCCCCGCCCCAGCTACCTAGCACTCCAGATCGGAACATTAACCAAATAATGGGTGGCCAGGACCCTGTTCGACCTCTAAAATCCCTGCGCCTGAATATCAGCCCAAGACATGTTGCCAAATACAGCAGCCAATGCGGCAAACTTCCTAAAGTCATGGGCATGAGGATAAACCGCAGGCTGGCTAGACTTAATAACCCTGTAGAAGACCTGGGAGACCCGAGCCCTGGAGAGCAAGAAGCTCACCGACCCGACCCCCAGAGGCCAATGCCAACAGAAACAGAGCCTTGAAAAAACAATCTTGAACCAAAGGGGCCCACCACAAACAGAGGACAGGAAAGATAGGAGAGCACCCTGTCCAAGGACCATGAAGGCTCAGACTCGCATGAGCAGGCCGGAGGTGAAACAAAGCACGAGAAAGCTTATGGAACAGGGTAGAAGTGACAGCCACCCCATATGCAAGCTAGAGTGCCTCCACCAGTGCTGCATGATAGGAAGTGACAGTATTAGGCATTAAATGATGGTCCTGAAAAAGTTAAGACAGAAAGAACAAGATGACCCAAGCAGAAATAGAAGACAAGCTACAAAGAGAGACAAAATGGGGGAAGAATGCCAGGAAACTTCATACTGTCGTCGAGACGAAGCTCTCAAGTGGGACACCATCAACGAAGCCACCTGATCACCATACAAATGGTGATAAACTCACGTCAAAAAGACCAGGCATGAAGAGCGGAGGAGAAGACCGAAGCATCTGTATACCGAAGTGGTTTGACCTGCTGGAAGAGGTGGAGCCGCGGAAAACGCCCTGGGTCCGCACACTAAGCAAGCAGCGTCTGGAACCAAGGCTGGGCCTGCCACCAAGGGGCCACGAGGACTAATCTCCCTTGGTAGGACTCCAATCAAGCCAGAACCCGAAGAAACTGCTGGACCGGGAAAAAGAGGTACAGGTAACCCCACCTCGACCAGTGTTGTCGAAAGGTATCCACAGCGACAGCCTCGCAGTCGGGGAAGGGCGCCACACAGATCAGGAGATGCTGAGACCACGTCGACGCGAAGAGATCCATGTCCGGGAGTCAGTACGTCCGGCAGAGCCAACTGAAGGAGTCGGCATCGACAGTCCATTCCGTGGACAGGGGAATGAACCGAGACAGACCGTCTGCCAGGATGTTGGACACTCCTCGGATATGAACCCCACGGAGAGCCAAACTCTGAGAAGCCAGCAGACAAGCAACTCAAAGCAACCGGCCCCAAAGAGGCAAGGACCAAAAGGAAAGAAGCGAGACAGCCCATCTGCCAGGATATTGGATACTTCTTGAACTTGAATAGAGGGGTTGAGCTAAACCCCAAGAACTCAAAAAAACTCCAGCTCCAAGCCCTTCGGGCGGTGCCCCCTTCCTCCCCTCGGTTGACACAATGAACCACAGGGAAAGAGAGTCTGAATGGAGCCGGACCATAGAGCCCTGAGGAATCTGAAAGGTTCTCTGCAACACCTGAATCTGAATCCGGAATCTGCAGCACCTGCCACAAACTCCCACATGGTGCTGAGCCTAACGAAGAGAGGGGGCCCCAATGCTCCCGTGCCAGACTGGTGAGCACTGGTCACAAGGCTCCAACTGAGCACCGAAGCATCCGTGAAAACATTGAGCGAGGGAAGGGGAAGATGCCATGGCACCGAACCCCAAAAAGAAAGCCAGTGATGCAGCATCTGTCGCAGGGACACCAGGTGACGGACCCAGTGATCGCAAGAGTGCCAAAAAGGGGCTGCCCCGAAGATACAGGAACAGCCTCCAGAGCCAACCCTGCCCAACGGTAAACCAGAAGGGCAAAGTTCAAGCTCTCGCACAGCTGCTTGAGCAGCCTCATAGTGGTGGGGGGCCTCGTAGCCTGGTGGATAGCGCGCAGGATTCGTAATTCTGTGGCGCAGGTTCGATTCCCGTACGAGGCAGAAACAAATGGGCAAAGTTTCTTTCACCCTGAATGCCCCTGTTACCTAGCAGTAAATAGGTACCTGGGAGTTAGTCAGCTGTCACGGGCTGCTTCCTGGGGTGTGTGTGTGTGTGTGTGTGTGTGTGGTGTGAAAAAAAAAATTAGTTAGTAAACAGTTGATTGACAGTTGAGAGGCGGGCCGAAAGAGCAGAGCTCAACCCCCGCAAAAACACAACTAGTAAACAGCTGCTGATTCATCTGGGATCCCTTCAGCAGCAGCTGATGGCAGGACTGCAGCCAGAGCAAGGCCGCAGGGGGAAAGAGAAAGTGATGCAGTCCCAGAATTCCAAACAAGACCCAACCAAGTCTGAACCTGGGATGGAACACACTGAAACTTCTTCTAATTCCCCAGGAACTTGAACTTGGCGAGCTGGGAAAGAGCCAGATACCTGGCTAGCAGACAAGCAGACTGGCTGGGAGCCCAAACCAACCAGTCGTCGAGGTAGGCCAAGACCCGAAGTCCCAGCAGGCAAAGATGGGCCACCATGACCGGATTCAAGTCTCTAAAAATGCGAGGTGCCAGATTCAGTCCAAGAGGAAGACAACGAAAGCAGTAAGCTTGTCGCCCCAGCACAAAACCCAACCAATCCCTGAACCCCAGATGAAGAGGGACATACCAATAAGTGTCCTTGAGGTCCAGGGCTCAAAAATGGGCCGGACCTGGGACAATGTGGTCATCCAAAAGGAGGGGCAAGGAATCAATCAGTTCAGATGAGACAGGTCCAAAATGTATCAGAGATCTGCACAGTCCTGTTTCAAGACCAGAAAAAGGCTGGAACCACCGAAGAGATGAGGTCGCGTCAAACACGCCTAAGCAAGCCCACTCCAAGACAACCTGATGGATGGATGGAGACGAGGCATACCTCAGCAGAACCGACCTTACTGAAGGAGGAAGGGCCACCCACCGCCACTGAAACACATGAGACATGACTCGAAAAACCGATGAATCATGGGACCAGGCATGGACAAACAAGAGCCAGCTCCGACCCCCATCGCCCCGTTAAAGGACAACCCGCTAAAGAGCCAATGCGAACCCCAAGGGCCAGACCTCCTTGCAGAGCGAGCACAGTGCTAACCAGACAAAGCAGACTGCACCGGGGTTCGCTCCACCGACCCTGAAGCTGACACCACTGACCTACCCCGACCCAAAGCAACCTGAGCCCTGGTTCAACCCTTTTGAAAAAACTGAGACCGACCCCCCCCCTCGGGCACACAACAAATCAGAAATAAAACGGCAACCTATGGAAGTAGCCAACAAATACTGAACACTGTCTGCCGGGAACAACAAAGGTGAAGCAGAAAGAAGAGCCAGAGAAACCGAATCCAAAGACAGAGCCAGCACAGCCTGCTGACATATGAGACTAGAGGTCAAAACATGAAAACCATCTCCCAGAGGATTGGTGCATACCGCTTCAGTAAGGCAGACTGAGACCAAGATGCCCACAGCAGGCATCTCACTAAGTGACCCCACATCTTCCGAAAGCCAATCAGAAGGAAGCTCCAGAAGGAAAAGGTACCACACGACAGAGGCCAAGGGCACCCAAGTCCAAAGGTTATCAACCACCAAGACAGCCGAAAGAAAGGGGATCTGAGCATGTAACTGTAACTTTTGAGCTAAGCCCTGCCCCTGCTCAGAAACCCTCAGACGCTTCGAAGTCAGAAACAGGGATGGGAGGAGAAGGGCGAACCACACCCACCTGGGAAGGACGAAGGGGTGTGTACCAAACCATGGTCAAAACAACTAACACCCTCAAATCCAAGACCCTAAAAACCCAGTAGGCTTTTAGGTTCAGGGCTTCCAAACAGGCACACAACCTGGCATGTTACAACACAGAAAAATGCCTATGCAATGTGATTGCTGCCTGATACCTCGGAATATCTAATGAGGAATGGGTAATCGGGAGTACACGAGGAGAACAAATCCCGTAAGACTCCGGTCATAGATGTCACCAACCCATCAAACAGCATGGCGGAGGCAGAACGGATAAGCGTCACCCTGAGGCAAGGGCTATGAACAACTCTCAAATTCGCACAAGGCAAGAGCGGCTTGGAAGAGGTACCATTGAACAACTGAACTCGCTGGGGATTTCCAGGGCCTGTAGGGTGAATGCACTCTACAGGAAGCCCAGGCACTTCAGCTAGCTACACTGGTAACCCCCTGTCGGTGCAAGCAACCAGACCACTAGAAACTGCCGGAAAGCCCCAGAGACAACAGAGGAGTCCTACCATACACACCCTAGGTGGGCCTAATAAGGCAAAAGGCAGAACTCCACTGCCAAAAGAAGTGAACTAAAGCTCCAGCAAATGAAAGAGTGAAAGAAAAAACTCGAGACCTTACAACAGCCAACAAGAAGTCTGGGAGAAAACGTCAGCCCGCCCTAGCTAGCTGAAGAGCCGGCATCGTCAGCAATAGTGCGCCCCACCAGCCAACAACATTCCCCTACCCATGATAAGATGGAAGACCTAAAGGCCCCCCAATGCACCCCAAGTGCAATTACCACCACAAGCAAGGAAGTCCTCTAAAGGGGAGCGATTCCTGAATGCACTAGGGAAGAAAACCCTGACCACACAAGGGCAGTACAGTACAGTACTTACGGAGCACCTAGGGAAGGTGACCCTAGGCGCATGCAGCTCCAGTACTCTAAACTCCTGGCCAACACACACTTCCCTGTAAGAACAGCCTCACAAGGCAAAAAGCCAACAAAATGGGAAATTATCCAAAGTGAACCAATGACCTCTGGGCACATCAGTCAAGAACTGGCTAGTGGCGGCCCGGCTCTCCCTCCCCAATAAAGTGGGGGTGGAGCTAACGAGCGGGTGGCTTGTTGGACGAAGTCTCGGTTGTCTGTTTCTTGGTGGAGGAATTCTTTTGATACTTAAGAGGGCATAGGTTGCCTTTTTCAACCAGGAAGTAGTCTGTTTTGTCTAGGAAAAGCCTACCTTTCTGGGTGCTTTCCCTGATTGATGGCAAGATGACAAACTTTAAATGTAAAATGTTCATGGGCCACTGCTTCCTGAGCCTCTCTGAGGGGAGCCAGTTCTGGCTCCTGGTCCCCGGTAGACATACAAGAACTCTGCACTGACAACTCCAAGTAATATGGCACTTAATCAATAAGCTAGCTTCAGGGAACCGACAGGGCTCCCCCATAAAAGACCTATACTGAACAGCATAATGCTGTGATTCTCTCTCACTACAAAATGCAAATGAGTGCAAATTATTAAATAACAAAGGAATAAGGATTCTTAACAAAGTTAGAGAGGTATGTGGTAGGGTACTGATTAACCAGGTGAAAAATATTATGTACTTACTTGACAATTACTTTAACGTTAATCCTGGCAGTGCACGAGGTAAAAGTAACATCTTTGTATCGTTTCTTGGGTTGACTATCATTTATCACTCCTCCTCTTAATCTGTCTTTGTGTGCTTGTCTTGCTACTGTGTCTTCGGAGGCTTCAGAAATTCTTTTTTCGTGCTCAAAGTTCCCTTCTGTTCTATCTGTCATTCTGTTTTCAGCCGTTTTCTCTGCATCTTTCCTCTTAAAAAAAAAAAAATAATTACTTTTGGAATGAAAAAGATTTTATGTTTGGAGAAGAACAATTGTAATGAACTGATTGTTGATATTTTGTCCCAGTGCCAAGCAATGCAACTTGTTACCAATTCCTTAACAAGTGACTCATTAGAGATGCTATCATTAGCTAAGAAAAATAAAGTATTCAATGTAATGAAGCTCCTCTTTCTAATAGAGCCCCAGTGACTCCCTGAAGCTATCTTGCTGAAATTGTTCTATGCTAATGGGTCACATCAGTCATGGGAGTTCTATTTGGCCTACCGGGGACTAGAGCCAGTAGCTCACCCTTTCAAAAAGACCAGCATTGATGTAATGAAATGCCATCTTCTGGGTGAGACCAGAGGCTCCCTGGAGCTATCCTAGGCTGATATGAGTGAATTAGACCGTGGCATCAGCCAAGTGAATGGAGTTCTTAGGCCTAACAGGGACCACAAACCAGAACCTAGGCCCCCCTCAGAGAGGCACGAGGAGCAATGGCCTATAGAAAGCCTCGTGAGGTTGGAAGCATTCTATGTCTGCCATCGACCAAGACAGGCACCAAAGAAAGGTAGGTACCCCAAAGCAAACCCTATCTGATTAAAAAAACCAGCGTTGAATGTAATGAAACGCCATTTTCTGGGTGAGTCCCGGAGGCTCCCCGGAGCTATCCATGGCTGATATGGATACCCTAACTATTTTGCATCAGTCGATGTGGGTGGCGTTCTAGGCCTACCGGGGACCATGAGCCAGAACCTGGCCCCCCTCAGAGAGGCATGGGGAGCAATGGCCCATAGAATTGCACATGTGATTTGGAGCATTCTATATCTGCCATCGACCGGGACAGGCACCCAGAAAGGTAAGCGCCACAAAACAAACCCTTATTCTGGTTAACAACAAAAATCGACAAACGAGTGGACAGAACTCCCCCAGGAAAATGAACTAACAAGCATGACGTCACACGAGCCTCGCCGCCGCATGTCTGCGCAACTCCCCCCTCCCCGGGAGGGGGAAGGGGGAGCCCCAGACCCCCGCGCCGGCGATCCCCGCCCCAGTTCTGAGGCTGGATATCAAAACCGCAAAAAAAACGCCGACCGGAGGGCGGGAGGGTGCCGGGGAGCCTCCGGGACTCACCCAGAAAATGGCGTTTCATTACATTCAACGCTGGTTTTCTGGGGGGAGCTCCTACGGCTTCCCGGAGCTTATTCACCAAAGACTACCTAAGAAAACAAGGGGACATACCCGGGAGGCGGTCGGTGAACCACACCTCAACACGAAGTTGAGACAACCCAAGGACCCCTCCGGAAAGCAGCAGGCACATCATTCGCCAGAAAAAGGGAGAACGGCTGCAGACGAAGAGACCTATGACCACGACCACAGGAGCCAAAAACCACTGCGCCTGAGAAGAGCATGAAGCTCTGCCACACGACCCCCAGAGGCCAATGCCAACATAAAAAGAGAGCCGAGGCAAAGCCAACCTGAACCGAAGGAGCCACAACAACCAAGGAGAAGAAAAACAGGAGAGCACCCGGTCCAAAGACCAGAACGGTACAGGCAGTGCATGAGCAGGCCGGAGGTGAAACAATGCACGAGACAGCCTGCGAAACGGCACAGAAGGAACATCGATACCAAAAGCTAGCAGCAGAAACCAAGGTGCCAGACCCAGGAACGGCCCCAAGTGCCTCTACATCCTCCGCAAGCCAATCCTATGACAGCCCCAGGAGGGAAAAGAAAATGCAGGACCAAAACCAAAATGCCACAAGCATGCAAGTCCACCGCCACAAGTGCAGCCGACAGGGAAGGATCCCGCATAAGGAGCCGCCCCGCACCAACATCCCGCAGAAGGGCAGGAGCGAAAAGACTCATTAAGAGGAGCAAAATCGCCCCTAGGAAAATGAGTAGCGCCGAGACAGCGCTAAGAGAAGAGATATGAACAGAATAACAAGGCCAAACACCCAGAAACTGCCTGGAATAGGACCCACAAGCCCTAGAAAAGACCAGAGGGAAGCTCAACCGAATGACGACAGACGTACCAGAAAACGGGAAGGAGCAAAACCGTCCCGAACCTTCGAGAACAAAAAGAAGCAAACACAAAGGACGACGGCACAAAAACCCCATCACACCCTAGACCAAAAGTCATGCAGAAACCCCAAGAAGAGGGGGACATGACGGAGAAGGCCCGTCCCGGAAAAAAGGGGCGAAGACCGTAGAAAAGCACCCACCGACAGGACAGAAGCAAAGGGCACAATGGACAAGGAAACCGAGCCCAGGGAGGGGCCGACGGGAGGCACAGAAAAACCCCACACCACAAAACCGCAAGCCCCGCCCAGAGGGGTAGAAATACCCCGGCGGGGACCAACGGGGCCTGAGGCCCCTCACGTTAGCCCCCCCAAAGCCCCAGTGTCAAGAAAAACCCCGGGGCAGCCGTGAAAAACACTAAGGAAGGGAGCCACTAGGCTCTGGAACTTGAACCAAAATCGGATAGGCGAGGGGCGAGACGAAGACCCCAAGCTCATCCCCAGCCAGCTCAACGAGGCGAGGACAACGAGGACAGGACAGAGAATCCAAGGAACATGGAAAAACCAGGCCCGGCACAGCAAGACCGGCAAGGAAGGAGGGCCCCAGAAGGAGCACGGAAGGGCCGAACAAAATGCCACAACCAACCCCGACACGCAGCCGCAGTACCAAAACCGCAGCAGAACGTCACCACACTCCCCGAGGAAGCGACAGAGAAGATAAAGATAAATCGGAACATGAGTGGCACACAAGGGGACACAGGCGGAAACCGAGCACCCAACTGAGCCACAGGGACGGTAGAAGAAACGTGTGCAGTGGAACAGGCAATCGAAGGAACACATTAGGCAGCCCAACTAGGGCTGTCCCCATACACAGCCCCAAGAGCAGAAACGAGAGCGCCCATGAAGCACAGAATCCGCTCGACAGGCGAACGACAGGGGAGAGGCGGAACCAAAGAGCCAGAACCCAATCCTGCAAGCACAAGGAGGCGAGCACAAAACACCCTCGACACAGGAAAACGTACCACCGAACAGGCACCCCCACTGTTGCACCGTGGAACAAGGTGGAGGCGGGGCCCCGAACTCCAGCAAGGTTAGACAAGCATAGGAGAGGGGCAGGAGGAGTACAGGCAGGAGCCGTCTCAGAAGGGCCAAGAGGCCACCCGCAGACACCCGTGAACCGAGGAAGGAATCAGGTGGAGAGAACAAGAGCTGCCCTGTATGGGCTAATAGCCCTGCAGTAGGCACCTCGGGTGGTACGGTCCACGTTCTCAAGTATGTATGTACACCCATTCCTACTTCCAAAAACAAAAACAGCGTCAGGACGAAGGAGACGCCATACCGCACCAACCCACCTGCAGAACATAGGCTCTGAAGGGCCATGACGCAAGCCTATGAGTCCGTAGCCGCCGGAGGCGGCCAGGGCGCCCATGCTGGAGAGGAGGAGGGGAGCAGCGAAGGAGGCTCCCCACCCTAGAATGCAGGGAAAAAACCTTGTGACTTCCCCACAGCGGCACTCCAGAACACCCCCAAAGCAACGGGGCACGGATTGGATTAAGAAAAGAGCGAGAGGCGAAGCCCCCTGAGAGAAATGGATGCAGAACAACACGTGTGCACACCGCCCGGAGCCAAAACAAACTCCCACGGCGCATGCGCAGGACGCGAAAGAAAAGTAGCCCAACACGGCGACAAGCAGCCCAACTGGCGACAAGTAGCCCAACCGACTACAAGGAGCCCAAACTGCCACAAGGAGCCCAACAGCTACAAGGAGCCCAAACGGCTACAAGGAGCGCAAACGGCTACAAGGAGCCCAAACAGCTACAAGGAGCCCAAACGGCTACAAGGAGCCCAAACGGCTACAAGGAGCCCAAACGGCTACAAGGAGCCCAAACTGCTACAAGGAGCCCAAACCACTACAAGGAGCCCAAACCGCTACAAAGGAGCGCAAACAGCTACAAGGAGCCCAAACAGCTACAAGGAACCAGTATGGAGGCAAATTCCAGGACACGCAGGAGGTAAGCCGCAAAGGCCAACCGCACCACAGGCGAAGAGATGCGGGTAGCCGAAAACCTCTGGAAGACGGAACCGAAAAACCACAGGGACACGGAACCGACCCGGGGACAGAACACAAGCCCAAATCGTACGCAGAAGGGGGGAAAGAAAACCCCACTCCTCGCAACAGTAAGCCCCGCTCAGAAGGACGGAAATCCAGGCGGGGCGCAATGGAGCCCAAGGCCCCCCTCCCCAACCCCAGGAGCCTCTACAACAGGCCCCAGGGCCAAGTCGCCCTCCAAAGCCCCGGCCCCACAAGAAAAAGCCGGGGCAGCCGAGAGAGCTGGAAGAGAAGGGGCCCACTGGTTAGACCCCGGAGCATCGGCCGGAGGAACAGACTCAAATGCCTCCGCAGCTACCCCGGACGGGGCAACCCCCGAAACTGCCCAAGTCTCAGAACCTCTAACCCCGCCCCGACCCCGAAGCCTGCAGATGCGTAGGGGCCGGAAGCAGGAGGGAGAAAAACAAGGGGGAGTGGAAGGAACCAAGGCCGAAGTGACCAAAACCCCCAAGTCTGGGTCCCTACACAAAGCGGGGCAGCATCGGGGCGTCCGAGGAAGCGACAAACCCGAGCGCGTTGCAACAACCTACCTTGCAACGCGCGAGCTGCCTGCACCCACGGGAATTCATCAGCAGACTGGGTGAATGGAGTCACGAACAAGCAACAAAGCTCGCAGGACTCAGGGTCGAATGTGTCACCGACCCAACAGGCAGCATGACGGAGGCAAAAAACAAGGAGAGTCACCCTAAGACAAAGGGACAGAGCAACCCTCAACTCGCACAAAGCGAGAGGGGATGCAAGGGTCTCCACTATCGGACCCGAGAGCCCCCGGGGGGTTTCCCAGGGCTCCTAGACTGGGTCTGCTAAGGGTTATCCCAGGCAGGGCACTGCCAACTGGCGCCCCAAACTACCAAGCAAACTGC